CATTGTTGAAATTCTTGTCTATTTGAATTAATTAAAATAAATTATTTTTGTCAACCATCTATTCACACTCGTATACTAATTGACTAAATAATTACTCACAATGGAGGTGTTTGTATTGTAATCATTCATGTGCATAAGAGGGAGAAATTACGATGTGCACATATGTTAATTACGATAGGATGAGTGCCTGTATCGGCACAAATAGGGTTAAAGATGAGAAAAAAAAATCAAAGAATAGCGACTAATTATCAAGAATAACAATCAACGATTATATTTTCCCCAACTGCTAACCACTCACTATACCATAAATGTAAGCAAAGGAGAAAGACTTTTGGGCAACATCAATAATTATTCGGAACACCCCATTGTTGCTTTAATCAACAGTAATTTATGGTTTATTTAGATCGATGTAGACACTGGACATTAGCAATTATGAAAAATATTCGAATAAAAGATGGCAACATTTAAAATGAAAATTTGGCGACTTTGTTTCAAATTGATTAATAATGAGGTTTGACCAGTTGAATAATTTCTAGGGAGTGAATCAAAATTCAATCAAAAGAAAAATTACTTTTTCTTATAGATGCCTCATTCTCAAGCCTTCGAAAACTATCGATTGAACATGGAGTAGGAGATTCGAGCATGAGCCCTTACGATTAACCTTTGTCGAAAGCCTAAGCTACATATGAACTATTGTTTTTCTGTAGAGGTTATCTTCTAAATTATTAAAACGATAGTATTTTCAAGATTGTTATTTTAACATTCGCTAACAATTTTCGAAAATAAAAAAGAAGCTTTTCAATCGGATAAAAGCACTTTTCGCATGCCTCTAACTACAGAAATGATTTTTTTTGAGTCTCACATGCCATATAAGAGGCTTACTTGATAGGTATGCCATTTGATAAATAAACAATTTATGTGATACAGGATAAAGTCAATATTAAAAAAGCTTTCAAATATTCAAAATGCCGAAGTCGTTATGTCTGTATTCTTCATCAAAAACACTTACGGATTCCACTCTTACCTGTTATTTTTCATCAGTTAGTGTTAAATATGTCTTATAAAATTACGAAAATAAGAAAAATATATGTCAAACATAAATCATCCTACTAAGGTAACTGAATGAAAGAAACATTTTTAAATCACTTTTGAAGAAATATTACGCAACCAAAATTACCCTCACCACGTGAAACTGTTATTTTGCTTGACTTGCTTCTACTGGAGCACTCAATATTATGCTTGAGATATGTTTCTTTTCTGAAGTATTCGACACTTGGATGAGTATTGAACAATCTAATATGAATGTTCGACATGATAAAGATTTTGAATGCTTGCAATTCAATGGGTCTCTAGCGACTTAAAATCGAAACAGAACGAACAAAAAATATATATTCCAAATTTACGAGCGCTCGCCGCACCCATCGTATTCTTTTTAAAGTCTACTTGGGACTATTGATGAAAGAATGCTTCATAGTTTTTGGATACGCAATATAAAAGATTACTCGCATATATGCTACTTTCCAACTTAGCTTTTTTTTCAAAAGTTTCTTGTCACACTTATTAATTGTTCTCGTAATGTTAGTTTTTACTTTATTCTGTTTCCATTGACTACTATAAAATTTTCATCGAATTTTAATAGTCTAATTAATTTGTGAATTGATTGTTTGAAGGCCAATGTTCCTTATGAACATATAGTAGAAAGCTGTAACGAAACCATCACTGAGTTAAATTATGACATGTGAATTTGTACTATCATTCTTGAATCTACAGCCATTGTTAAGTTTCTTCTTTTTCTTATTGTTTATGAGAGGAACTATAGCTCTTTGATAAAATGAACATGAAATGACTATAGTTCCTATTATGGGAAAAAGATGAAAGAAATTTTCTTTCATTTATTTGATATAAATATACATCACATTTACACACATCCACATATAGCACCTAACATACATAACGAAGGAACTAGACGAAAGAAAACGCTATCAACTATATAGATCATATATGTCCAGAGCTAAAGAAAGAGAAAAGAACAAAACAAAGAGAAGATGATTTACAATCGAAAGACATCACATTGACGAAAGAGATCGTCTCGCAAAAGAAAGGAATGATATCATACCTAGGTAAAAGAAAGAAAAAAAAAAGATAAGAAAGACGAAAGACACAGTGTGAAGGCGGAGCCTATAATAGTTCCTACGAGCAAGTGAGGATTTCAGCCATCTGATATGTAGCTCTAAATGAACATGGAAGTGAGGTTTGGATAAGTAGCAGTTTTCTACTTATGTCGATAAGAATCATTGGCCTTCAAACAATGAATCCACAGATCAGTTAGAGTATTAAAATTCGATGAAACTCTCACATTAATAAATCGAAATAGAGTAGAGTGAACAACTAATATTACTTGAGCAATCAATAAGTATGACAACAGACTTTCTACATAAAAAGCTAAAGTGGAAAGATGCATATGTGCGAGTAATTTTTGTCTTGATCAGGCTAAAATCAGTGCTGTCTTAAAAAAATAGGCCGTGAAGAACCATTTAGAGTTTTAGCGGAGACGCTGAACTTTTTAAGGTTCCATTCCATTATTACTGAACCATCAAAAGTTCTAGATAATTTAAAGAACCATTTCATGTAAAAACAAAAAGGTTGGCGTGTGGGCGAAAGAAAACTAACGTCTGCACCCACCCACGCTCTTTTTTTTTATTTTTAATTGTTTTTTATTGGTTTTAGTTATTCAAGTTATCGATAACAGTGAAATGAATACCTTTTCTGTCGCTTTTCTATCGTAAATTGATGGTTTCTCTTTTTTTCTTTCAATCATTGATCTAACATACCGCAACATAAATCAAGTGAGTGAACTTGTTTTGAGTATGAGAGTGTCGTATGAAGGGTGAGATCAAACAAAGGTAAAGAAGTGTAAGGGGTTCTTATTAGAGTAATCTGACTGATATAGTTCTTGTGAGATCCACGTTAAAATGCAGCCTTCCGGGTAGACTCTAAAAACTCAGCAACGACCTATCTTGGCGTCCGTGGCGTACGACCGGGTATTATGGATTTATATATATATAATGTGTATCAGATTCTGCTTCGTGTATAGGTAGTCTTTGCTCCGTCATGGAACTCCTAGAGTAGTTCCTGATCGCACAAATGAATAATATAGGAATGAAATTCATTTCTTTCTTTGAATAGCCGTTTGTTTTTGATTCATCGTGATTTATTTGACAGGAAGAACTAAAAAAGAACTATCGCAATGAGTCTATTCAATCGAAAATCGTTGAACTCGATCATTCCAATAATCGACAACATAGAAATGGCCATATTGGTCGAAGGACAAACCATCGGGACGGCTCAACTGATTTGCTCCTTCTCCATCACCATTTTCACCCGCTATGACAGTGCCTTGCTTCGCTCCGTTAGGCCAACGCATCACTCGATAATTCCCTGAGTCTGCAATATACATGGTACCCAACGTATCAATGAAGATTCCGCCAGGACAACACAATTGTGTTAGAGTCTTTCCAGAGCCTTGACCACCAGCGACGACAATTCCTTCTGTTGCACCATTATTCCACTTCATCACACGATGATTTCGATAGTCCGATACATAAACGGCCCGTTGTCGATCAACAAACAGATAGGTTGGGGAGCTGAGTTGATTGAGACCATCACCTTGTCCATTACCACCAGCCACGATAGTTCCATTTTTGTCTTCTATTTTATATCGTCTTACTTCATTCTTCTCCTCGTCAGAGATGTAGAGATATCTCTGATCGTCCATGGCTAATCCTCGGCAATGGATATTGTCGAGGAGGATTTTTCCTTGAGTTGTACCACTACGACGAGACCATAGTAGAACTCGTCGATTTCCTCGATCACAAATAATGAGACTATTTGTCTCTTTATCGATCAACACATCGCTTGGACCATCCAATTGATCCAATTGTTTTCCTCGGCCATGGCCACCAGCTAGTATTTGTCCATTCTTATCACCTATCTTCCACTGGATGATACGATGATTTCCCCAGTCAGCAATGACCACCGTTTGATCATCATCAATGAAGAGACCCCAAGGATAGTTGAGTTGATTGGAGTTATCGCCATGTCCGTGGCCTCCAGCAACAGTCACCCCGTTCTGTGACCATTGAGCATTGACTGGAACATTAGAGATCACTACAATTAACGAAAAGAAAACGAACCATTATCATCATCGTTATCGAAAAAAGCTGTACGCGTCTAACATTTGTCTTATACGTGAAGAGAAGAACCACAAGGTCACCAACAATCACATGCAGACTAGCACTGACACGGCGTGTAGGTGTAGATTTGCCATACAACCTAATCCACTAATATGCTACTCCCATCGATGCCACTCACACCGAGATCAACTTTTTGGGGACAATAACATTAACATAATTAATTTACCTTTAACGCCATCTACACGCGTTAAATGTGACTTTTAACGCGAGCACACTGCTTATCAAATTTCTTATCTCTACAACCGTTCCCACACACCCACGATTTTTAAACACCAGAAGCTACATCTGTGGATAACCGGCAGCTGAGGGGAAACAAAAAATAAGACCACCAGCGCTTCGAAAAAAAATTCTGGAAAAAGAAAATTTTCCAACGAGAGATACTCGTGAATTTGTGTTGATGTAGCTTGTATCACTAAAATTCTTGGAACTCGGTTACTAAAGGGTTTCGTGAGCTAATTTCTTTTCACATTATAGCCCTAGCATTTATCTATTTTCTATAGAAAAATGTGCACTCTTACACTTTAAATTAGAATGATAAATTGAATTTTTACTTGTTAACGTAAGCAAAAGAAATATGTTTTTAAGGTAAAAACCTTTCTTTCACATCTTAAATAGTGTTCTACCTGATACATACTTTTTATGAAGAATCAACGTCTATCGAAGGTGTATACTGTTGATATTAGCTGTTGCTTTTTAAAGGTAGGTTTTTCTTCAGCATGTTTGTGAGATAAAATCTGTTTTCATTCGTGAATAGAATCATGAGAGAAGGTTTCTTCTTTCTTGTGACTTTTATTGATGTTGTCGCGATAAGAAAAGAATTACGATATCCAATAGTGAATGGTTTCTTTCTAATCCATTCTCACTACATCAGCAAGCCAATGTTTTAGTAGAGCTCGCTGTTCTCTACTCATGACAACATCAATATCAGTCACGACACAGGGGAAACTTCCATACGACGATATCTACTAATCATAGCAATCTGTGTGAAATATTTCTTACTGGAGATTTGGAAAAAATCGAGAATGTAGATGGTGAATGTAGAAAAGACCCGCACACGCAATTACATCCCCATACCTCACATCCATCGTCTAACCCTTATGAAATGAACGAGTCCTTGCGTTTAGGTTATCAGCCACTCTGTACTGCAGAAAAATGCAAGTCCGAGCTTGTTTCAATCAGTTGGACGAACTGTTGTGTATTTCTCAACGAATATGTAGCATAGAGTTTTCTCCGGTCATTCAAATAAAAAGTGTTCGGCAAGCAAATGCTATCGATACTCGCTGGTGCATATCTCTTCCTGATGCGAAGCTTTTTTAGACATGGATATCAATAGTCTGTAATACGAATCTCATACTAATAATTAACTTTTGGCGTTGACACTTATGAAATGGTTTCTTCAACGAAGGTTGTAAACCTGTCTGTTCTTCATAGAGTTTGATAGTTAAGTCTTTGCTGTTCATACTGACGAAATCGTGCCTACATCTTATTAGTGTCGTTTTGCGTCAAGCTTTTCACCATTTTTTCATACATTCATCTGAATACGATGTCTATGCTTGTCTGTTACGGGTCTATATGACTCAAGACTTTAGACGATTTCAATAACGAAATGGTTTCTTCCGAGAAGACATCTATTCTATCTCGTGTTATGTTTTTGTAGTTGGAGGATTTTGGTCTTTCCGTTCTTATCTTATTATCAGACATAAAAATTTGTACTTCTTGTAATCCAGCTTTATGCAGTATCAAGCATTCTGCTCTCTTCGTTAAGCATCTTTGCTGTTTTTTCCATCGCTTTGACTATTTGCTAAGTTTTCAAAGGTTTTATTCTCGCCTAGATACACTACCGTGAGGCTCTTTTGATACGGTAAGGTATTCTTGTTTGGTCTGCAGTCATTTTCCTCACATTGACGTATCGATATGTACGGGAAGTTGTTCTCCGTCACCTTCACAGATTTTTGAATGATTCAAAACTTCCCATTCACATCCACATTTCAGCGGTTTAATATCAACAATTTTATACCTTTTTTCGTGTTTCTTATTACGTTATCATGATAGTTCGATCAGAGTCTCTTGCATAATTTAAGATGATGAATAGAATGAAACAAAAAGGAAATAAAGTAATTATGTGAAACGTATATGATATCATAGGATTGAGATGCAGAAAACTAACTGACACCGATTTTTCAACCATTGATCTTGATTTCGTTATTGCTTTCGTTTTTTTCTATTATCCGATCATTTTTGCGCTATGCGTATGGCTTTGAGATGACTATGAATTACTATTCAAACCAGAGCGCGAAACCGAATCGAATAGACGAATGATTCGATTCGATTTGATGCGTCTCAGTCGAATCGAATCCGAATGGACTTTTTGAGAAAGTAAATCGAATCGGATGGAAAATTTCTTCAGTCAAGTGAAATCGAATCAAGTTTGAGACTCCTTATTCGGCTTTTTATTCGTGCGATCATGTAATAATATGACACGTTAGTGATGATTGGTTTACAGGAACAACACATACAAGAGAACACAACACCAATTCAGAAGTTGTAAGTAACTTCCTCTAACTGTTGTAAACGCATTTGTTAACTAGGAACGTGTAATTAAGTAACGAATATGTATGATATAATCTAATGATTCTTCGATAAGTAACACTCTTGATCCATATTTAATGACAACTGTATAGATAGACTTTTGTCTTAATAAATTTCATAATAAAAATAGTATATTGATTCTTAACGATAGACATGTATAAGTAAAGCGACATGTTGATCTGTTTATGTCGATACTGTTTTTTATTATGCCTACGCATTTATTCTTTTTTGAATGTTTTGGTTGTTGCGTTTGAGTGAAGGATTATAATGAAAATGATCTTCTATGATTTTATTGTAAAATGTTTTGGTTAATTTTCGTAGCGGTTGGTTCTTGCTGGTCCAGTTTTGCGATATGCACTCATGTTGTGAAAATTCGACCGTTCAAGAATTAAGTACAGCTTTATTTCTAGGAACGGTCGGCGTAGAAGCTTTACGAGCAATTTTATTCTGTAAAATCTGCTTTCTTACACACGGCTGGTATTACAGAACTAAATGATCATAAAATATGTAAGGAAATACCACGTATACACGAGTTGAGGAAAACAATAGAATAGATATCTAACGAAGAAACAAGCAGAAGATGTATGTCAGATATGGTGTACGAGAACAGTAGCATTATTTCTACTTTTAGTGAAAGTTGAATCGAATCGAATCGAATCGATTGAAGATTTTCTCATTCGTTTCTCACTCTGATTCAAACCATTTTCACCAACATAGTCGTGAAAATTTCAATGGTGTGTTACTATCGAGTTTCAACTAAAGTGTCTATGTAATATCGTTTACTCTTTTTTGTCTAATGCTTCGTATACTACTTTTGAAAGACGTCGACACTTGACTTCTCTTATCTTTAAACTACGGACTTTGTTGAGGGAGACTAACCTTATCAAAAGTAAACCATGAATGAATACAACCAAGGAAATATCATTCTTGTGCAAGGAAGTTCATTTAAAGTAGAGTACACGCAGCAATATGCATGTCTCTATAATGCTAGGTCATGGATATTGTTCACGAAAAAGCAATGGTTAACAATGATCAACTTCAGTCACTACCTATTCGAGGATATAATTATTAATAGTTAGCAAAGAGTAACTATTTCAAGAAGGATTCGTAATTTACTCAAAATTTCGTTTGGAATGTAAAAGTAAATATCTCTTACAGAATATAAGCGGCTTCCGAATTTTTTTAAAGATGATAGTAGGTTCTTTGAAGTTTTCTGTCTTCTAATTTGTTTTATAATGTATGTTAAAAATGACGACACCCAACTAAAACACATGAACGTATCGTTTTCGAAACTATTAGAAAAAAAAGGTATATTTTACCATTTCACCAATTTATTTTCCTTATCGATACTTATTTTAAAATAAACTTAATATTCAATAGGTATGATATTGATATTGGTTTTTACTTTATGATTATTAATAAACTCATTGAAGTCAAAAGCAACTTCGTCAAAAAATAATTGAATTCTTTAAATTGTTACTCTCCTCTATCAATAATATTCAGGTTTTACATATTTGAATAGAATTCAAAATTTAAACTTTTTTGACATCCGACATCACCGGTTTTGTGGCGAACTCTCTCTTAAACACGAATCTTTTCAAGTAAGAAGAAAAGAAAATATCGAATCTTTCTCTCAAATATTTTAAACAAAATTGTTTCATATGTAAATGAGTTCAATCGCATCTTAGATTAGTTATTATATCACGGTTCATCTGATTCAACAGTGATTATCAATTTGAATGATATCAGATTTTATGCTGAGTTTTCAGAAACATTCTACTGCAGGTAGTCTACTTTGTTTTCTCTGAATATCGTCTCTTTGTCAATTTTTTTTTTGTAGGCATTTTATATATATATCACCCTAACGAATATACTTTTTATTCGACAACTGTGCTTTTAGGACCATCAAAGTCAGAGGGTAAAACAACAAAAAAAAACTAGTATTACTGAGTACTTTGATCTGTTTCAATGCATAGTTAGAAAGATCATTCGACAATAACAGTGGTGGATATGACCTTTGAAAATTTAGATGTTTATAGCATCATCGTTAATTACAAAAATTAATTAAATATTTTGAATCAACCTATCATGTATTTATACGATTTTACAAAATTTGATACCTATTTTTATATATTTCTAAGAAAATTAGAGGCATTCTTACATGATTAATGAAATCAGAAAGTATTTGCAACTTTTCTATTAGAAAAAAAACGGGAAATAGTAATAACAGATATTTACAAACCAATGAACTAATCTCTATTTTCAAAAAAAAAGCTCAATACAAGTGTATAATAACAAAACAAAAAAAAATCAAGAAATTTCTTTCACTCAAGCATATGATTTTCATAATAATCCATTAAATAAAAAACATCTTTTTCTTTTTCATTTAAATTTTCAATCATATCAAAATTAATATGTGATGATCGATATTTATCAATAATTTGTTTATCAAACGATGTTATCTGATAATCAATATTATTAATAATTGATTTAATTATATCATAACAAACTGTATCATTATTATCTTCATTATCATAATTAAAATTTGATAAATTTTTATTTAATCCACATGATATATATCGTGCAATATGTGTTGTAATTTCTCGATGAATTAATGCATCGTAATGCATACCATCTTTACAACGATGTTGAATACATTTACGAACAAGATAATGAAGATCAATAACTTGAAAATTATATTTTTTTGCTAATTGAGATGAAAATGTATTTATATCAAATATTCTTATACGCAAAAAATTTTTCTTTTCTGAACGTGTTTCATCTAAAACACCACGAGCATCCTTTGAAAATGGTGTCTAAGAAGAAAAAAGAAAACAAAAAGATATAAGAGTAAAAAGTTCGAAGAAATCTACTGCTGTAAGCCAAATAATAATTGTATGTGGTGGAATAATTGAACGTATTGAACGAAAGCATTCTTCAAGTAATTGTGCATAATCTTTTTCACTATTTTTTTCATATTTTGTTATATCCCAAATAGCTTAAAATATACAAACTGTTTTTTTTTTAAATTTCTATTGAAAACAAAAACTCAATTCCTTTTTACCAGAATTAAGAAGAATAACATCTGGTATAATTGATTTATTTTCTTCTATTTCACGTAATTCATTTCTCATTTGTCCACTAAAACATCGTGTTAAAAAAACAAATTTTATTAAATGTGTATTTGTTAAATAACAACGTCTTTCATAATATGATGTATCGTTTGTTTTTTTATCACCAGCTAATAATTGATCATTTAATGATAACATATCATAATCATCTAATTTAGCTCGTAGTTCATCATTTGTTAATAAACGATTTTGTCCTTGAACAAGTAAAATCATATCTTTATAAATACTAAATAATATAATAAAATATTCTTTTTTTCAAAAAGAAAAAAAAAAATTTTAATTATTTCATTTTACTAACGAACGCATTATTGAATCTCCACAAAGAAGAACATATTTATTTCGTAATAAAGAATAAAGTGCTTCACTATCGATTAAATCCATTCTAAATAAAAAGATAAATGGCATATATATGTAAGATTAAGATTTAACTTTTGTTGAATAAAAATCAATTTTCCTAGTTATATATGTATAGCTGAATTTTCTAACCGTTCTTTTCGCGTTGGACGAATCAATGCTCTAGTCGAAATATACAATTAAGAGAGATCACTACTTGTTTGAATTGAATAATTTTGGTAAATGAAGACGCCTCCTGTCATGAAAAATCACGCTCAAGATAAGTCTTATAAGCCCTATTTAGATTAGGCTAAACCGAAAAACATTTCTACACAAACTTTTAAATAGTACTAGTTCATGATAAAAGTGCAAGATTTTCTAATTGAAGATAGAAGATAATAGAAAATTTGATACTTTTATAATGAACTGATTTCAACATGAAGTTTACTAATGCAAAGTTTAAATTCGAAAGTCGATTTCAAAGATGAATTAAGGAAAAATTACAGAATGTAGTTGAAAACCTCATTATAATGACCATTTGTACCGATACGACTTAACTTTATGTCGTTATCGATTAGTAACAATTCAATTACTTAGTATCATGTGCAGTACCATTTAGATCAAAGTTATTCTCATATACTCCCTTATACTACCATTTTATAGTAGTACGCTTCTCCTCCTTATTTTCAGAACACATACTATCAATCGACAATGCTAGCTGTTTCTCACATATCTCTTCCAACGGAGAGGGTTGGTGTGAAGGGAGGGCGTCATGATATCAGTAATCCGATCGAAATCGAAAACAATATGTCTATGCAAGATGATTATGAAGATAACAGTTCAAATTGGACAACAATACGAGTAAATACTAAAAGAAACTGCACATTCTGGAACAACAAAGTTTTGGGTTCTACTGATCTAATTCGATAGCAAATCAAGCACACCGATTTGTGATAGCTTGTTACCTGTTCTTATCTTTTGCCATCCATTTAAGGATAATGTAAAAGATAAGCTAGTCGGTGAACATCTCCTTAAATATTCGAAAGATTAATTCAATAATTTCGATCTAACACTAATGAATCATGGTGAACGCCGAATCAATTATGGCATCTCAAAATCGATTGAAAACTTCGCAAGATCTTTTCGTACAGAATTAATATGTACCATGGTTCTTTTATATATAGGCAACATAAGGTATTTAGATTAACAACAGAGATTAAAGAATAAATTGTAGTATAAAAAATCATTTTTAAACAGATAAAAATTTGTTTTGTCTAAATTCAAGAATTTCTCAATTATCCAGAATCTATTTTCCAGATAGTATAGGTTGTCCAATTGCTTCAATTAACATATGTTGAAGCTGATTTAAATAACGATGAATATCAGTTGAATAATCGGCGTCTGATGACATATCATTTTCAATTATTGGTTCTGATATAACTATTGCAGTATAATTAGACAGAGTAATATTATTTAAATTTCTTGATTTTAATTCTTCGTAAAGATCAAAAGCAAAATCATAAATAGCCTTCATAACAAAAGAAACATATTTCAACATGATTAATATTTGATATTCAATTACTTTCGCTTGAATAAAGATAAAATTTGTACATAAATTCTTCTTAATGAGTTCAACAATGGAGTTCGATGGTGTAAATGGATTATAACTTTTAATAACAGGATAATAACTAATATAATTATCAAATAGAAAACAGATAAAAGATTTATATTTCTAAAAATCTAACGTACGGAAGACATTTAGGTACTGAATGATCTTCAAAAGAAGCTTCTATATAAGATATATAACGTGAAAGATTCGTTTGTTGATCAACGTCAAGTATATTCATAACACAAGTCATATCTCCACTACATGTTAAATAGAGCACTTCAACAAAAAATCTTTCAGAATCTGTTCTAGCACTAAATATTGTATCAAGAAATGGTAAACAACAAACAGAATTAGCTGCTCGATTAATATATGCAGGTAATTTTCCTTTACAAAGACGTTTAATAAATTCATTGGCAAAATGATTGCAACTAAAGAATTGAAAAAAAATAAAAGCTTCAACTTCTTTTCTAAAAAATTTTTTACTTATTATATAAAAGATGATAAGAACTACCAGTAAATATTTTCCCTAATTTTCTCAAAACATGACCAACTGTTTGTTTATTCATTTTTGTTTGTCCTATATTAAGTCCTTCTTGATAGATATATGCAGCAGTTTTAGGCGTAGTTGAAACAATACCAGTAAATTTAAATGGATGAGCAATAAATGAATGTTCTTTACCATAAACTTCAACAGCTGTATGATAAAGACCAAGACCAAACATTAAAGAAAAACGATTAACTCGTTCCGAAATTGAATAAATATGAAGAATAACTGATTCGGAATCCATTGAGTACTATATACTTCTTTTAACCTGTTCAATACTCGATTAAGAGTAAATATGCATTATCATACAATTATCATAAACAGAAATATCAAATCTGAATAAGAAAAAAAACTTACTTAGTTACAAATTAAAAAAATTTAAATAGTACGATCAATTATGAAAGAAACTTAATTAAGAATTAATAAATTGTTGTTGTTTAACAAATGCGTTGTGGAAATTGTAAATATGAGTTCTTCACATAGTACATAGAGTTCTCACGCTGATAGCCTGTTCTTAATAAAATATATGAGTTTTTAAACGATTGTTCGAACATCTATAGTCTTTACAGAATACTCGACCCTATTGTACTTCACTAGCACATGTCATTGTAAAGATGAGTGCACTACAAAAAACAATGTTCTTGTAAAAAAAAACACAAGTGAAAATTTTTCATTCGATTAAATATCATTCAAAACGAAATGGTTGTACAAATACAGATGAGTAGATTAAAGTATTTAATCTTCTAAATTGTTTTGTGAAATGAAAAGATATTGATGAATACAAAAACTTAGCTATTTTATTCAGATTTTATGAGCTTATCTCTCGTCGAATTCTAATTTGACCTACATTACATAGATGCGATTATCTTCAAATTTTTGATTGAATTTCAAGTGTTTGTACTCTTGTCTTAACTTAAGTATCCTATGAACGAAGAGTATGATTATATCAACACTTTCTTACACATGATACAAAATACACAAATAGTTGCTCATAATCTACTGTTCAAAATTCCTTGTTGCATTGAAATAAAATCTACTGTTGAACAAAGACTTTTCATTTCGTTCTATAAGGTTATTCTAACGAAATGTTCATATCAAATTTTAAATAAGTAAAACTTTCAGTTTCTTCTTTTTGGTACTTCGTTGTATTAAAATACAAACACACACAAAACAAACAAGCAAAAATAAGAAATTTTGCAAAGACAAAAAAAAAAACAAAATTTTCATACATATTGAATAATTTTAAATAACAAGCACATATTATTTAATTTATCTTTAAAGAAAAAAAAAAACAAAGTGTTCATAAGATTCAAACAAAAAACAACAAACAATTTTACAAAATTAACTAATAATACAATCTTTTTTCCTTCGTCCACTATTTGATTTGTTATCTTTTTTATTGATTATCGTTGGTTTTTTCATTAATGCTGGATTAATTGTATTTTTTCTTTGTTCACATTCATCAACATAAGTAATTTTAGTTCCATAATTAATTGGTTTTTTAATTCGATTTCCATGAATATCATATTGACGATAGATCGCATCTAAATCATCGTCACTGTCTGAATCCGAAGATGACGATGATGATGACGATGATAAATAATATTTTTTTGATCGATTATTTATTATTGATGAACGTTCAATATTTTTTTCTTTTTCATCATCAACAAAGCGAACATGATGTTGTTTAGTAAAACGTCCTGAACCATTTAATGAACGTGAACGTGGAAATTGTGTTGTTGTTGTCGTTGTTGAAAAAGCAACTGATTTTGGTCGTGATATTGGATACATAATTTCATTTGAATCGAAATGTTTTAAACGATGTTTTGGTATTGATGAATCAATTAAAGTATCTTGAGATACAATTGAATGATTTGTTTTATTTGAATTTATTCGAGATGTTTTATTACTTAAATCTGGTAATGATGCACGTGATGATTTTGATGTTGAACAGCGTGCTATTTCAAGCGTTGCACCATGTCGATCAAGTTGTTCAAGATTTAAATCATTATAGAATTGTATTGGTTCACGTGAACGACTTTTTGTTATAGATATTTTATTTTGATGACGATTTTTTAATATTGATTCAGGTGATGATTGAAATTGTAAGAATACTTGTGGTTTATCTTTGTCATAATTTAAACTATAAAAAATTGAAAATAAAATTATACATAAAAATATTTTCTTTTTCGTTACTTTGTTTGATATTGTTGACGATTAGTTCTATATTTTCGTGTGCCTGTACCATCAGATAAATAACCATTATTATAATCACGTTTATATTTACTAATATTAACCCCATCAGATACATAGCCACCTTGTTCTTTTAATCGACTAGATATTGTACGAGCATTTGGTTGTTGTTGTTGTTGATGATGAAATGTTTTTGGACGTGGAGGAAGAATTTTAACATGTTGATGATTGGTTTGTTTATATGTTATTGGTATTAGATCGGGACTTTTATCAAATTTTTCTTGTTGAATAAATTTTTTATGATTAAAACGATTATTACGTTGTAATGCACATTCATTTGAACAAAAAAGTGCACCATATCGAGGAAAGAAAGCACGATTAAGTAATGGCATACGACATGTATAACAATAAAAACATTCATCAGTAGCATGCCAATGTTGAGATTCATGTGCCATTTGTGCTTGATCTGTTTCAATACGTTCACCACATGTATCACAATATTCAGCATACATTGTTTCAAAACAATTTAAACAAAATGGCTGATTTTGTCGCATAACATAACGTTCTCCACCCAAACGCCTTTTACAATTTGAACAAGAAAAATGGTCCATATGCCAACTATAACCTTCAGCTTCGGTACATTCATCACTGAAGATAATCTAACGTAGATGGAAATAAAAAAAAGAACAATTAGTTTATGTCGTTCGACGGTAGTCAATCTGATACAACAAGATTATTACCATCATCATCATCATCATCGACATCAACAAACGTCGACGATCTATTACTCAACTATTCTCACTGTATTCACAATGCTCCGGAGAGGCAAACAAATCGTCTAGTCCGACTCATAAACATACATACTCAACAAATACATGTACACGTACGTCTGGCATGTCAATAATACAAATACTTAAAACTTGTCATCATTGTATACCTTATGTGAACATGATAATAGTCTTGTATTCATATGTCTGTATTGTCGAAAAATAAGAGAAGAGGAAAAAAAGGCAACTAATAGTATTTCATTGTTTTATACATGCAAATGCCTACCTACATTGTTATCTATGATGATTATATAATCAATTATAGTTTCTTTTCTTTTTTTTGCACGACAACTGTTCTCTCGTATTATTCTCATTGATCAATCATCTATCCCGTTTTCTTATTCTATTTAACAATTTGTCTAATTCGTTCTACATACTTCATCACATGCTGTACAACGTGGTTTATATAATTCAGCATGATGTCGACCACAATAAAGTAGACCATCTTTATGAAAATAAATTAAATTAACAAGAAATTCTTTGCATTGTACACAAGTGAAACATTGTGGATGCCACAAACCACTTCGACCAGCTCGTTCAACATAGATACATATTGAACCTGAATCAATGAACTTTTGACACTAAAATGAAAAAAACGAATATCAATCATATTCACATATATATATATATAATTCTTATTTATAATATTCAACATCTGTTTGTGTCGTGTGTTATATTTATTTATCATCATCATAATCTCGATTGTGAATATCTGTTTTTGATTTCACACTGAGTGCCATCGATCTAATATACAGCAAATGTCATACACACTTACTGTTCAGTCTAATCAATGAACTTTGCATTACAAAAAAAAAAAAAAAAAGAAAACGAAGAATTTCTTTTTCTTCTTTCGTGATCTAATTGAATACAATTAACTAGCTGATCAATTGATAGTGATTTTCTTACATCATGCTTCATCGCTTTTTTTTCGTATGCCCGAAAGCTTCAATTTCATCAGTTAGTTTTGTCCTCAGATGTCAAATTACGAAAAATGATACATTTTCTCTTAAGTTCTGTCTTTCTTTTTTATTCTTGTTTCGTAATACATACTTGTACCTGTATATTTCTATTAATCTTTCCTCGAGGTAACATAGATGTACAAGCAAAAAAGAAAAAAAAAATAACCTATTCTTCAATTTACCCCTCGACATGGTACAGGAGATTGTGTCAATGGTAATTGTTTAGCAATGCCACGACCGAATGCATTATGTAGCTGTTGTTCATTAAATGTTCGTAATTCATTTTTTTCATCTTCACTCAATGAACGACAATACTTCGCATCTGAATCTTGTGGTGGTAGTTGTATTTCAAGCATTTTCTATTCAATAAAAAAAAATTATAAAATTCATAAAAAAAATAACTATTTAATAGAATAACTTACTGTTCGATATTTTTCACCAAGGGAATTAAGAAATGGTACTTTATCTTCAGGAAAACATTTAAAAAATTGTCGAACCTTAAAATAAATTATATTTAAATAACAATCAGTTTTTTTTCTTTAGTGCACGTATATGTATATATATATACCTGTTCAGCTTTAAGACCCGGTGGACACCATGCATATTCTTCAAGAGCACAACCAGAATCATCATCACTAGTTGATGAACGAGAATGTTGTTGTTGTTGTTGTTGTTGTTGAGGAATCATTTTATTTGTTGTTGAATCGTCTTTCGGTAAGATCAATTCAGTATCGGCACACACTCTAGATAGAAGAGTAAATGAATGAATACAAAAAATATCTTAAGCAATTCATCATGTCTATGAATGAATATGTGTGTGTGTCTGTCTCGTCCATTCTATCGAATAAGAAAAAAGAGGGGAGGGAAGATAAATCTCTGTCATTTTTCATAAAACATAAGAACGAAAATGATGTATATACTACTGAATTATCAAGATAACATTTCGAACTTTAAAACCAAAAAAAAAACTAAGGATGAAATAACAAGTGTAACATTGAAGAAGTGTTTGTAAAAGGCCAACATAAAACATGATTTACCCTGTAAAAAAATTGGCAAGTTTCAAGATCACTTTAATAGTCATATCTTTTCTTTTCTCGATATGTATGTAAAGAAACAAAAAGAAAAAATGACAGTTATTTATGAAGAATGGGAAAAAAACAGCAAATGAAATAAGCTAATTGGATTAGCAGGGTGACTCTACCTTGGGCGTGAACAGATAAACATTGTTCAAATAGCTTGCGTACATGAAAAATGGTTTACAATCA